ATTCTGTGAACACTTTTTCTCCCTCTAAAAGGTAATATTCTTGAGCTGGTACTTTAAAGATGTCATTTTTCGATTTTCGAAACGGAACTCGAAATAAAAGTGGTTAAAGGAGAAAAAACGTACGATTTCACGATTTTGTAATATTAAATAATTACGGACGACGTTTTCTATCAGAAATATTGCTTCAAATATAAAATGACTAGAGATATTTTCTGTTGTATTTTGGATTTTGTTCTTTACGGTTTAATGTTCGGAAAATTTTTGCCATTTTTGAGCTATTTATTTATGAAGCATCTTAATTTTGRGAATTTTTTTGTTGTAATTTGGTTAAAAATATTCGTAAAAACTTGAAATTTGGGTTGTTTACTTATATTAGCCTTACTTAGACATGGTAAAATTTTCAAAACATTTGAGCTACTTTTTTCTTTTTAAATCTAAGATTTGAAAATTTTTAATAATCTATCGTATATTTTAGAGTCTAAAGAAATGTCTAGAATCTAGACAGATAAACCGTCTCCGCTCAGAATTGTTTTTCGTATACAATGATATAATATCATTGGATTCAAATTTAATTCCATCCATTGCAGTAACCCACTTGTAACCTACTGTACAGCAGAGCGACATCCACGATTTACGCGATTTTTTTTTTATTGAATCAAATAGAATCGGGATCATTAAATATTAGTTACATGAATTATTCCTGTTTTCCTGATGTTTTTCTGTACAGCCTTCAACTATAAAAAGGGATGACATAAAAAATTTATTATTATAACCATCCATATAGATACCTACATTAAATATAAAAACCAATACATTTTTGAATTAGCCTAGAATCTAAAATTTAGAGCCAAATCAATGTTTCGATTATTGAATTTATTCAGCACTTATTTAAATTGTATTATAYGTAGATTAGATACACAATTTTTTATTAGGATCTCTATATTGGAAAATATTTATAAATCACAAAAATTAAGTTATAATTACATCARGTATTGAAGTCTTAAACCTGTATTGATCATGAAACAAATCACTAAAGTGTAACTAATATTAGGCTCGTAACTCTCGCTAAAAACTTTTATTTTAGTTGTCATCAATTAAAATTAGACTTTTAGGTGTATAGTTATTTTGGTATTACTGGTGATTGGTGATCTTGTATTATTTATCTGCAATACATCACTTACATAAGTATAAAATAAATAGGTACTTATAATATTATACTGTATGTCTATATTAGTGTATCAACTATCAAGGAAAAGATATTTAATAGAATAAAATACATTTGGTAATACATGCATAGTACCCAGGTGAATTATTTACCTTGTATAGTTACGTTTTCCTTATAATAAATAATATATTGTGATCATAATAGTTGTTTTTTTTTAATGAATAATATTATTTTGTAAGATAGATTTACCTATACCTATACATATTTTCATTTGAAATACTGTTGATTAGTAATTACTTGTTACATACATACTAGAGTCTACATTGTATTGAATCATTATTTAATTTATAAAAACACTAAATTTATACTATGAAGTTTATCACTTAATTTTCATAGGTATCCAGTTCTGTATTCATAAAATTTAAGCTTTTGATTACGTCCAATCAATCAACCTAATATTAATACATGGCTACTTATTTATAACCTATATATGTTATTATGCTATCGACCAATTTAGGCATTACGTTTATGTTTATACACAGAAATAGCACGATTTTATTAACCTTTCGGGCTATTCATTGATGATTTGATAAAATACCATTTTTGATATTGATCCAAATATATCAAATTACAAGAATAAAAGTTTAAAAATAAAATAATAATTAATAGGTATTTTTTCAGAACAGTTGTTTGTTATTCGGTATTCTTATAAATTAACGTATTTGTGTATACCTACGTCACATTCAAGAGTGAATCTAGTCTAATATTACTGTAGGTACCTACTTTTTGTGTTAAAGATATTTCATGAAATTCATCTATTGAAAAAAATTTTCTGTCCGAGAATAATTAAATAATAATAATTWAAACTGTTAACAAAGAAGCGTTTTCCTTATTCAATTGAAATTCCTATATCCAATAATTTATTTGCGTAACTGCCAACCAATAAGTATATGCAAAATKATTTGAAYACGTAGTACGTATTTATTGACAGGTGTCAGGTACTCATAGAAACAGTCACTATGTTAATTGATATTATTATTATAAATTAATAAAGATTAATAATATAACATTTTGTTAACCAATAATATATATAAATTAATGTATACCCATGGTACWTTATGTATACAAGAATTAAATTAAACATTTTAACTAATATATAAAATATATACAATGCATTTTCGGTTTTATTGGTAAAAAAAATGTATCAGAGTTCTAATAAACTCGTAAACTATAATTATACTATAATCATTATACTTATAAAGTATATATTAATATTAATATTAATATAATAATGACGTAATAGTCCATATAGATTCGAATGCATAACTACACGCTTGTGTTACTAGATGATTTCTCCTTAGATAACTTAGAGTACCTACCTAACTTAGTGTAAATAATATGGTATGGATTATGAGTTATGAGTACATTTAGTTGTTATAAAACTGCACAATATAATACTTAAATATAGGACATTTTAGAGTTTATAAGTTTATTGAGAATGCAAAAAATAAAAATCATAAAGCAGCTATACAAGGTGTAACAGATACCTATACAACTAACTTAGAACTAACTTAATTGGAATTACTTTTGTTCAAATTTATTTTATTTTATTTTATTTATTATTTTTTTTTTTTTTTGTTTATTAATTTACCCTAGCGCTACATGTATAATACACTTTTTTATGTTTATTTTTTAGTACTGAAAATAAAAAAAAATTTAATTTAATAAAAAAATTTTGGATAAATTCAAAATATTCTATTTGTGAATCTGATTATAAGCACAATTTTGATGATGAAAATATTTATCTAAGTCAAGTAGTTTATTTTTTAGAATTTTTTTAAAATTCAATATTTTTTGGTTAAATTAATTTGGAACGTAATAGTTTTTTTAAAAATATGATTTTTGAGAATTTGCTGACATATATGTACTTATAAGTAACTTCTTAAATCATTTACTTATAATATTAACAGTTTTTGTCATACGTTGAATCAGCATAATTTTTTTTTTTTTTTTGATCGGGTCTTTTTGTTACACTCTGTGTAGTATTTTCTAACCATATTATATTATTACCAATGGCGTTTTGGTTTTTTACCTTCCTCCTCAGGTCACCACGAATAAAGCAATCCTGGTCGATGAATATCATCGTAGATATACACTCAGTATTAGCAACCCTACAATCTATATTTATACAAGACAATTTAGTGATTCCAAGATGGGAATCATATTATATTATTATATATAGTCGCTGATGACAGCTATATATAGGTTAGGTTATAGATAGGTGTTTGTCGATTTTGTCTTCTTTCTTTCGGTCAAATATTTCCTCCGGACCCCCAACGCCTTTTTTTGCGCTTCTCTAATAAGACCTCATTTAATGCTTCTGGCACAATATTAAATAGATCTCATAAATAGCATAAACATTGGTTACTCATTACTTATTAGAGGTAACTAGATATTAATATAATGTGTTTATACCATTCAGTGCATGCCATGTGTGTGTGTAAATAAAAAGCTTTGTGGTGTATGTGTATGTGATATATGGGCTATTCAGGTGTTGGTGTCGACGGTTGGTGTGAGGAGTAATAGCAGTCGGCACGTGGTATCGCCGCTGCACGCCGCGGGCCGGTCTGGTGGAGCGCCGTGCGACGGCACCGCCCGCCGTGGATTCGTTGTATGAAAGTGTCGAGCAGCAGCGGCAGAGTTTGTGGAGGAGGAGGCGGAGGCGGAGGCGGTGTTTGCGGCAACGGCGGCGGAGACGGCAACGACGCTGGAAACCGCGGTGACAGCGGTGGTGGCTGCGGCGGCGGTGCGCCCAACAACAATAACAGCAGCAGCACCAGCACCAGCACCAGCACTAGCACCAGCAGCCCTCCGTGCAGTGAGGGCGGCGGCGGCGGCGGCGGCGGTGGTGGTGGTAGCGGTGGCCTGGTAGCTGGTGTACTGGTCAGTGATCAGGGCGAAGTGATCAGCGACCGGTATGTGGGCGTGGCGAGGCAGTTTGTGTCGCGTCAAGCGTCCGAGCGTGGCTCGACCAAGGCCGACCAAAGCGACGGTAATGACGACGAGACCACGCTCAGACAGATGCTTGTGAGGTAAGCTACTACGCACCATCACCATAGGTTGCATGCTTGCCGACTACTTGACAACGCCAAATACGCTGCTATTATAATTGTATATTATACATTTTACGTAATATTATATTGTATCCGTTCAACTTCCATCCGTATTATTATTGTATTACATTATTACCATACTAATAGAAGTGGCACTCAACGATCCATAATATTATGTATTGTATTGTGTACTGTGTATATTACAATGATATCTAGAAATGGACGGAGCCGATCGGTGTAATAGTCATCCAAATAGTCTGTCCTAGAKAGTCTATAATAATGAGAGAATGGATTTAATTTAATCATAAGTTTTAAAGTATTTATTAATAAATTAGAACCTATTATAAACTATAATTTATAAAAAAAATTTTAGTTACCAACTCATCAGAGCGCATCAAATTATTTTCTGCTCTCTTATTATAAGTAGTCTTATTATCTTATTATACATTTATACCCACGTATAAGTTCTTTAGTCTGTTTAGTCTGTTCTAGGTTCTAGTGATATACAATAACAGAACCTTTTCCTCTCTCCCCGCCATTGGTTTAGTGTGTATTCCCTCCTACTGACCGTAATTATTGCAGCGCTATTGCAGTGTCATCGTATTAATATACGCGATACTAAAATGTATTATCTAAATCTGCTAGGTGGATTCGTGCAGTCATATATGATAACACACGTTGATAAATGTAGCATGCRTGGTATTATTTCTTTGGTATCCAAGGCTAAGGTGTCTGCGATCAACACAGACGTGATCTGTATGACGAGTGTTGATTGACGGATAATTTGCGAGTCAATTACAACGGTAAATACATATTAATATTATTACTGAAACTTCCAACTTAAAGATATCGAGACAGTACCTAAATTCAATGAATACTAAAATCATGTACGACAAAGACTTTTTCAAAAAGTGATTAAACTTATATTTTATTATAATTTATAATGTTTGATAGTGGTCATCCCAAACCAACCCATTTCTACAAATCGCAATAACCATATACGTATGAATGCATAATGTTCAGGTATATATTTATATATGTATAACACAAATGGATCACTTAAAGTTACAATAGAAGGCCAATAATTTTCAAAACTTTAAAATCTAGCGAGCCAAATCGAAAAAAAAGGGTAAACTAGTAATTTATCTGCAGTTAAATACTACCTATATAAGAATTAATATCCTTCAAAAGGTCAATGATGTTAATAATTTATTGGAAGTCTAGTTGTAAGGTTTTCTTCAAGTAGATGAGGTATGTGGGTTTGTTTCTCGAGTCCTCAAACATTAAGCATATGTTTTTTTCAATATTTGTTATCATTATTAATTTTTAAAATGTTACCTTTTTCATGACACAATCCATTTTTAATTTCTTATTGGAAAGCAGAATAATATATATTCTAAAGTTATTATCAAATAAAAAAATGTTTAACTTCAATTTCATATAAAATTCAATTTCTGAAATTTGTTTCATTTATCCTATCATTTTATAAACTAACAAGATAAATTAGGAAAATGKTTCCATCTATAAATAGTAAAATATTTTATTACTGAGATAAAATTATCTACGTTTTGAAAAGTGTGGACTTTGAATTTAGCTCTAGATTTTGATATATATATATTAACCTATATACAGTATATACGATGTGTAGGTACAACGTACAAGACGAAAATCATAAACTACTCAATAATACACAATATACTCAAATATAATTTATCTTTGGAGAAATATGTTGTTTGCAGAGTCTGACTTGTAGTTTCGATAAAAATWAAAACTATTATCTAAAAATTTGGACGAATCTTCAAGTACTTATGAATTCATTCTTGGAATTTGAAATTCGTCTTTATCTTTCAAAAATACCAAATAAATATTTTGACTGATGTTTTTATTTTTATTTCTTTAAGCCTAATGTTATCCAATAAAATATGGCCAGTATGGTATAACATAGGTATTTCATAAATGTTCCAGTTAATTTCGAATGTATATAGTACGGGGATTTGTCTTATAGCTTGTAAAATCGTATATATTATGATTTACAAACCATTTTAAAATCAAAAGGTTGTTGAAACAATTAAAGTTTAATAAATTTGAAATTAAATTGATATACAGAGTGATTCACCATAATTTTTTCTTTGATATTACAGTTATTCATCATAATCTGATTTTTGGAATTTTTAAATAATATACTTAAACAGCGTATACACAAATTGATAAACATTTTTTGTACGACAAGAGTGTCTTGTAGAGATACAGACTTCTGCTTTTCAATGACAACCTCCCTTGAATACAGTAAATTATTTAGCGGTTAGTTTTTCAGAAAATGTTAACATATCAAAATCGAAATTCAAATGAACACTTTTTGAGTTATTTAACTACATTGTATAAATAGGTTAATATTTTCAATGTCCATGATAATGAGTTTGGAAGATACGGTACTATGGTGATTTGAAAACTGTAGTAATTTATAACAATCTACTTATCAATGTTTATGATTTATAAACACTTTAATTTGTAACTGAAAAACTACTATAAATAGTTCAAATTTTGAATTAGATACATAAATGTTGAAAAAAAATCATCTTCTAAATAGTTCACAGTTAAAGAAGGTGGATTATCATTTGAAACACAGAATTTTGTGTCACGTCAGAACACTGCTTAAGTAGTAGGCACAAAAATCTCAAGAACTTAAGTATTTAAAAAAATTTTAAATAAAAAATCTTAGTTTGCAAATTCAATAGGTATTAATTTAAAATATGGGGGTGAGCATGTTTGGTAAATCACTCTGTATAACTGTAAACATATATATTTAAAATGTATYACTAAGAATTATTTCATTATCGTTAGAACTTTAATATAATTTATGCGCATTGTTTTATAGCAACTTTTCTTCTATTTCTCATCTAGTCATCTCTATCGACTCTATCACTGGGTATGTGTGGAACTAGTATTTTTCCTTAACTGTCTAGTGTGCATCGTATAACATTTTATATAGGTAATAGAAATTATTAGCTGTTCATTGGTAACCGAATCTTTTCAAGAACAACTGGAACGATTTGGGTCGTTTTTTTTTATTGTTCGTAATATTCCGAATGAGGTTTTTACGGGAAGAAAAATTATAGAATTTGCAGATCGGAAAATTTTAGAATTTAGGAAAAACCAAAAGGCCTTTTTTCAAAGAGATTTTTTATATACAATAGATGCAATTAGTCGCATATTAAAATATAGTAGTAATAGAAAATTTGTGGAAAGCAGATAATAATTTTAACTTGTTATTTTTGTATTTGGTCACTATATTTTTAATTCATGTTCGTTCATTCGAAGTTAATAAACTCAAAAATACTGGACCATTCTCAACAAAAGTTCTACCAATAATAGATTCCATAAGCTTTAGAGGATGTTAATAGTTTATTTTTTTAATTCCTATACCTATGTACCTACCAGGTACCGTACCCCTGCAGCTAAGAGGAAACTCATACATGCAGGGGATAGGGTTGTCATTATTTGGTTACATTATATTATATAACTATTATAATTATCATTTATCATATATATGATAGGTAAATATATTTTTTTTAACTTAAAATATTCATAATATTGTCGTACATAATAAAACAAATCTTCGGCGCAGGTAACGCAGGGTGGCACTGCTAGTTATAAATAAATATGATTGCTAGAACAATTAAAATTAAATATTAATACCTGGATAACTTTCGCTAAGTATTAATAAAATGAAATACAATAATAATTTTAAGCCTTGAATTAATGTTAAAAAGATTTTTTTTTAGTTAAAAATAATTTTAGACTTTATGTACTGGATGACAATAATAGAAATTAAATCTTGTGATTATTTAGTAGATTACCAAGTACATAATGTGATAGATACATTTAGTTGGCATGTTTAAATAGGAATTTATTAGGTATTGCATATATCATTATATAATATTATAATTTGTTTGGAATATTATCATAAATAATTTATGCATTGATTGTTTTAACTTAACTCGTGTGACTGTGGATATGTTTATTTCCAGAAAAATAAGTATTTTAATTTTAAAGAATTGACGATAATATTTTTAATTTTAAGKAAATCAAGTTTGACTAATTATAAYAAGATATAATTATAAACTCAATCAAAATTTAACTGTTAATGTAATAACTATGTATTTATTTAATTGGTTATTTTATATAGGCATTTATTATTTATCAATATATCATATTTAAGTATATTCCCGATTTATTACTCATTCTACAATTTAAAATAATGATTATCATCCTTAAAAAAAATATCGATAGATATAGTTTGTAATTTACTGTGGCTTCTCTAATTCAATTCAAAACCAAATCTTAAACTTTTAACTCTCATCTCACGTATAATTAGTTAACTGATATTCATAAAATGTATTATATATTAATACAACTTCTATGTGGTACTAATATGTACTAGTTAAAATTATTTTGGAAAATTACCGATTATTTAATAGCACAGTCGAACAATACATTTTTAACTTTTCGTAAAATACACTTTGATTTTATTCATTAACACTCTAAATCTCTGATATGAAGGTCAGATTGAGGTTGTCAGTTTTCAGTTATAGATCTTATAACCAATTGCAGTTGCATTATTGCTCCTTGCCACCATCTATTATGTCGAAATAAATAACAATACATATTAATATATTATCAATAGGTTAAAATGGAAAATTATTAAAATTATTTTAATATATTCAACCTATTTAATATAACCCAACTCTGATTATATTATCATCAATAAAACTTCAAACTAGTATAGCTTAAATTGATTTGAATTTATCTTCATGCAAATTTAATCAAATTCGAGTCATAATAAGAGGAATTAAATATGACTTAGGATTWTTCACTTTAAAAAATTAAGTATGAAGTGGGTATTATCAATATATACTTAGGAAATTGATGTTATTTATATTTGTTTTAGGTATATATTTTATCGTTGCATCAAAAACATAAATTAGAATTAAAAATTACAAATTAATACAACAAATTTTTTATATATACAATTTAATGTAAATACATACCTATAATAAATATTATAGGCCTGTATATTTTATTTACGAATAGATGTCAAAATTAATCAGACACTACAAATCTATAACGATCTTTCACATTTTTAATAAGAACACAATTCATTGCGTTCAAATTCCATAAGTATAATAAACTTATGATTTATGTCACGGATTCATCGAAAATATTTTATATAAAGTTGAAACTCGCTTACTTTATATTGTTAAATCTTTAAGTTTTCAAATAGATACGTTAAGAATGTTTTACTTATTTAGGAAACGTCCTATGTTACCCTTTCCGATCCGGTTAGCATCCCCCCCATAATCTGCTTTTATCGATCGAAATACCAGACGGACACTTTTTGTTAAGAAATCCAAAGACGTGCTCCTTTATTTATTTAAGTCCCGCTTAACTTTTGGGGTTATACCAAGATGAACAAAATAGAGAGAATTTTTTCTTTTTAAATCGTCCGGAGACAAAATGAAAAAGTGTCACCACAAGACAATAGTAAAAGTTTTATAAAAGTTCAAGAGTTTTGAACTGTTCGACTTTGTCAACAGAGCGCTTTTATAAACAAAAAAAAAA